GCTTTTCTAGGGTAAAAAGTGAAGTATATTTTCATAAACACTTCCATGTTTACTGGGAAATTGAATGGTTAGAAGATTTGAAATTTATGTTAGAAAGTAAAAACTAGTTTTGTTGATTGTGTAGATGTGGTAGGATCAGCAATAGGCTTGACGATATTTTCAGCCATGCTAGCTTCGTGGGCCCTCACCTTCACCATCGGAGGTGAACGTCTTTTTGGGCATACATGGGATGAGCTGGTAATGTATAATGTTGCTGACAGATATGGTTTGACAGGTTGGATTTAGTGATTGGAATTGGAATTGTAAAGTCTGGAATGGAATTGGAAAAACACTAGACTCATCGTCTTCCATTGATTCTCCTAAACCGCATACTGTACCTTGTTTTTTATTTATATCATATCCTCACACTACATAAATATGTGTATTGTTTGCTTTCCGATTTTGGTACTAGAAAGTTGTAATCGTATCGACTTTTTTTATTTAATTGATTTTATAGCATAGGAGATGGATGATCTTCCTATTCGTTTTTAAAGTTCTATGAACCTGGTGTTAGGTTTATAAAGTAGATCGATGTGATTTAGAAATCGGTGAGTTTATTCAGATGTTGTTAGCTAATGATATTATTTCAGAAAGTGAATGTAATTAAGAGCATAGTTTCGATTTGAGACCTTGAATTTCACTTTATATAGACAAGAAGAACAAATTGTCATTTTGAGGTTTTGTGTTTCACAAGATTAAGGGGAGATCTGTGATGAAGTGTACTTTGATACACCTTTAGATTTCAAGGATAATTTAGATCAATGAACTTTTCTCAACATCTGCTTATCATGTATATGAGTCACGTGTACAAGTCAATCAGGAAATTGTAGGAGCAATGTTGCCTCAACTCAGTGAGTTTTTGCATATGATTTTCATTTGTTCATGCTTTACAAAAACATTGTACTGATTATTCAACTATTTAAATCAAGGGATAATCACAAAAATGAACAAAATACAAAAACAAAATATATTCTTGATCTTATTTTTTCAACTTATTATTATTTTTTTAAAAAAAAGAAATAACCTTATCTTGAATGTGATGTTTTCAAATGTTTCAGGTGACTTGTTGAACTTGTTAAACGTGTCACTAGATGAAAAAATCTTGCCAACTACATATGGCCAATTGAAGTCTCCTATAGGAAAGCATCGTTTAAAGGTTATTTTTTTAAAAATATTTTGCCTTTATCTGTTTTTTTTAAATAGGCATAATAACAAATTTATATCAATAAGTAATAAACATCTACTTGCAAATTGTGGAGTTCATTGCAGTTTTATTGAAAACTGGAAACAAAGTTACAGAAAAGGAATTAGTCATCTCTAGAACCATAAAAAGAGTTCTTGATCTTTTATTCGAGTAAGCCACAATTATGTCACTAAAATGTCAAAACTAACCATTTTCTAAATATAATTAATTAAACTCTATATGTGGTGCATATTTTAATTGTTAAATTTTCCTCTTTAGTTACAAATAAAGTTGTGCATGGTTTTGGACATGGAAATTTCAGCTCTAGGAAAGATTTAGCATTCCATATTATTGAAGACTCAAGACAACATCAAAGATTTAGCATACTGGCTATCAACAACTTCAACTCTTTTGTTCCTACTGCAAAGTACAATCAAAACAAGTGGTTCACCTTATATGTCTCCACATCGTAGTCACGCTTCACCTACCACATTGTTTGGTAGAATGACACAAGTAAGCTCTTTTTAACAATGTACTTTCATAATTTGCTTATTATAGCATCTTACTTTCATTTTTTCCTATTATAGTATTTTACTTTTAAAAAAGTGAAAGTACAATGCTATACTTTGGTAGATTATTCAAAGTATGATAATGCCTAAATAAGAAAAGAACTGAAAGTGCAATGTTGTAATAAAAATAAATGAAAGTAGGATTCCCATGTAAATCACAATTATATGTGCTTACATGTAAATCACACGTAATTCACATGTAAATCAGAAGTGAATAACATATGAGTTACATGTGATTCATATGTAATTTACATATTAATTACATATGAATCACATGTAATTCACAAGTAAATCACAAGTGATTCACATGTAAATTACATGTGATTCACATGTAATTCACATGTAAATCACAAGTGAATCACATATGAATTACATGTGATTCATATATAATTTAAATATGAATTACATGTGATTCACATGTAAATCACATGTAATTCACATAATCACAAGTGAATTACATATGAACTATGTATATATGTACACATTCATATGTTAATCACATGAAAATCACATGTAATTCACATATTAATCACATTTTATTCACATGTAAATCACATGTGATTCACATTTGAATCACATGTGATTCACATATGAATCGCATATGATTCACATGTGATTCATATGTGTATCGCATGTGATTTACATATGATGTCATATGTAAATGTGATTCATATGTGAATCGCATGTGATTCATATGTGAATCGCATATGATTCATATGTTAATCACATGAAAATCACATATGTATTTTTGTAAGTGTTTTTTGCATCAATCATTTTTTTTATTTTCTTGTAGATTTGGAAGAAATTTTGGTGAATATTGAATAGGTGAAAAATGATAAATTGAATAAAATAAGGAAATATCAACACGAATACATGAAAACACTTTGAAATTTGAAGCATTTTAGATTTTTTATATTTTATTTTGTATTGAATAAAATACTTGTAGTATTAGGTTTATAGATTAATTAATAAAAATGAGAGTTTTTATGATTTACTTACGAATATTATAGTATAAGAAATATGTATATATGTATTTGAAAATATATGCATATATGTACCTAAAACTTTAATTTTTATTGTTAAAAAAACAAGAGTATTTTTTTAAATATTCTAGTTCTTTTTTTTTTAATTTATTGATTTTTAAAAATTTACTTTTAAAAAAAATATTTTTTTTGAAAAAATTACAGTTTTTTATTAAATGCAGTTTTTAAAAAAAATTGTAGTTTTTGTTTTAAAAAAATGCAGCTATCTTTAAAAAACTTGCTGTTTTTTTTTTAAGTTTTTTATTTAAAAATACAGTTTTTTTAAAAAATTGTAGTTTTTTTTATTAAAATTGATGTTTTTTTGAAAAAAATGCATTTTTTTTAAAATGTAGTTTTTTGAAAAAATTGCAGTTTTTTAAATAAAATATTTTTTTTTCAATTTTTTTTTTCAAAAATTCATGTTTCTATATAAAATTAAAAATCTGCACTTTTTTTTAAAAAAAATTGAAAAAACCTATTTTTAAAAAATTCCGAAAATTTGATTTATTATGTAACTTTTTAAACATTTAATATGATCAACAACACAAAAAATTAAACATTAAATGAGATCGGTAAGATGACGATCATGTCCTTAATGAATTAATTTTGATCCAACGCTCCACTTTTAGTTGTCGGGTTCTCGGGAAACTATGAGTTCTCAACCGATCTCATCCCTATATATATATATATATATATATATATATATATATATATATATATATATATATAGGTTTAGGTTCTATGAAAAACCCTAAAAAAACCCTAAAAATCATAAAAATGCATAAAAAAATACTTAGAGATCACAAGACTTTTTTTTGAATTTTTTTATGAAAAAATCGCCGCTTTTAATACAAAATCGCTAAATTTTTTTTTGAAAAAAAACTTTTTTTTTATTAAAAAAAAAATTGATTTTTTTTTTCAGCGATTTTATTAAAAAAGTTGCATTTTTTCATAAAAAAATTCAAAAAAAAGTTTTGTGATCTATAAGTATTTTTTTTATGTATTTTTATGATTTTTAGAGTTTTTTTGTTTTCCAAACAACCCTTATATATATATATATATATATATATATATATATATATATATATATATATATATATATATATATTAATTTTATTATTTAAAATAAAAATGAGACGGAAGAAGGTTGAGTTTTGATTGTATTGGGTAGATAGGAGACAATTTAATAATTTTAGTTCTCTTTATAAATATTAGTTAGATATTTAGAAAAAAAAATTGAAGGTCGACTTGTGTTCCGTGTGGGACGATGTGATTGGAACTTGGATGGTGTTTTCGAGGCTTTTTATTTTTCTTAAATGTTTTGGTCAACGTCATTCGTCAATGCAGAGGTCTGAATGTCTCAAAAGAAAATCATTTACATATTCAACAAAAATATATTTCCTGCTGTTCTGTTCTTGCTTATCTGCGCGTCAACACTCCAATTATCTTTTCAATATTTAATATCTTATACGTCTCTTATTCAAGAACTCAACCACCTTAAAATTCCACTTGAAGCCATCAAATTAGCCACAGAAAACTTTTCCGACAGTAATGTCATTGGTCAGGGTGCATTTGGGAGGGTGTACTCCCAGTCGTCCCCGCCTCTTCCACCACCGTCGCTGTAAAAAGGTTAGATGTGAAGTGCGGGCAGGGACAAAAAGAGTTCTTGACGGAGATCGTGATGCTCTCAAGTTACAAACATGAGAATCTCGTCTCTCTTGTTGGATTCTGTGTTGAAGGTGATGAAAAGATCATTGTGTATGAGCATGAGATTCATGGAAGCCTCGATAATCATTTGACCACTGATCTTACATGGGCGCAAAGGATTCATATATGTCTTGGTGCTGCTCGAGGACTAAATTACCTGCATAATGATGTAGGAAAGGGGCACAGGGTGCTACACCGTGACATAAAGAGCTCAAATTAATGTTTTGTTGGATGAGAGTTGGAATGCAAAGATTTCTGATTTCGGGTTGTCTAAAATAGGCCCCACAAACCAGGAGTTTACTTTTCTTGTCACCAATGCTGCTGGGACATTAGGGTATGTTGATCCATTATATGTATCAACCGGGGTACTTACAAAAGAATCTGATGTGTATTCTTTTGGTTGAAGATATGTTCTAAGAAAACAATGTGAAATTACAATGTTATAATTTTGTAGAATTTTGAAGTACGATGATGTAATGAATGGCCATTGAGGCATTGTTCAGGATAATTGTAAGTTAATCCTCTTGGAAAATTAGGTTAAAGATTTGTCGTAAGAAATTTTAAAAGTACAATGTTGTAATTTTTTAGATTTCATTGCACAATGCCTCAATTATAAAAAGATTAGAAGTACAGTTTGTAAGAGAAAGAAATAAAATTATGATGCTATGATACACATATGAAACTAGGTTGCCATTTTTTTTGCATTTTGGATTCTTTCGCTCTAACTTGCTACTCTTTTAGCTTGTTTAGGCATGATTATGTTTAAACTTATACTATCATCTCCCCCTATCTTATGATTAATAGCCATGAGAAGTTCTTTTGGCATTAAGTTGCAATCATTTCATTTATAGTTTTATGCAGAAAATATTTATTTATTTCTTTTTCTTGCAGGGTCAGCAACGGTTTTCACAAGCAGAAAGAGACCATAGAGAAAAGAATAACTTGATGCATCGTACTTCCAAAGTATTTTTTTCTATAATGAAAAATCTCTTTTTGTTCTCTAATAGGGTGAATAGTGATAGATCTAATGATGGGGGTAATTCATACTTAGAAGGTAACAAACACAATTATGAAAGCATTAAATGCAAGATATTTAAAATAGCAATGTTCTTTCATATATTTGTGTATTACAACATCCTAAATTCATTCTTTCCAATACAACATTGTGATTTCAAAGTTTTCATATTAAGGTATTGTACTTAGGAAAATTTACCAAATTTATGGCATTGTACCTTTATGTTCTTTTTTTTCTTATTCTAGTAGTGAGAATTGCTTTGAAGTTGGATGACATTACTATAGTTGGATGTATTTTTTAAACCACATTGCCATAATAGGAAGAATTGAAAATATGATGCTATAATAAACATATCAATGAAAGTGCATTGCTATTTCTTGCATTAAAACCTTGATGAAATTACTATATGTATGTTTTTCAATAGAAGATAGCCTGGGAATAAAAGAGTTCCAAATAATTGGGGATGCTAAACCTGGAGGTAAACTTCTAGTGTGTGGATTTCCATTGCATGGGACCTCACAATGCATGTTTCAGGTATATAAGTTTCAAGAATTTGCATATAAAATATAACATTAACCATGAAGAGATTGATATTTTTATATATTTATAATGTATTTGCATGTATTTCAGTGGGTTCATTACCATCGAGATGTTACTTTGGAGTACATTGAGGGTAAGTATATAAAAATAATTTTATTTGACTAAATGCAAAAAATAGTAAAGGAAAAATAGGAGAGATGGACCCTTATATGTATTATTCATATTTATGACACTAAGTGTGTGTTTTCCTAAAGGCTAAATGCATGAAATAGCAACATATTTGCATTTATTTTGCCATTTGTGTATTTTAGAATCGTACATTCATATTATTCTATTACATTATTGTACTTCGAAGAATCTATGCAAGTGTAGCATTGTACTTCAATTATTTTCTTATTAAGATATTATACTTTAAAAAATATTCTCAATTATAGCAATGAATCTTTTTTGCTATTGCATTTAACCCTTTTTTAAAAGTGTACGAAATTTCTAATGCACACCCATTGACGCATGATTGGTAATTCATTGCTCAATTCTCATGTATTATAGTATCTTACTTTTCCATTACAACATTGTACATAGAAAAGTTTACCCAATTGTAGCTTTGAAAATCGCGTTGTATATGTATGACATTGTTATAATTCGTTATAAATTTTAAAGTACAATGTTTCAAATTTTAATAGAAAGAAATGAAAGTAGGATGCTATCATACGAAACAATGAAATTACATTTCTGTTTCTTGCATTTAATCCTTTTTCTTAAAGGGTAAAAAGGTAATTCATTCCAAATTCTCAGGAGCCACAAGTCCAGAGTATGTAGTTACAGCTGATGATGTTGATAAACTTATTGCTGTTGAATGCATACCAATGGATGATCATGGTCGTCAGGTAAAAAAAATATTCAAATCCATAATTTTTAAATTCAAAATCTATACCAACTTTTAAAATTTTAGCTAGATATTTAATATGATATAAAATAGTTAAAGAATAATAAATTATTTTCAATGGCACAAAACTAAATGAAAAAGTAACCATCTATTAAGTTGATATAATCATCAAGTTTTCTTTTTAATTAGATATTTTAATCAACATACAGCGTTATATATGTGATATGGTAATTTAAGTTGTTAATTCTTTATATTTTAATACAATCGTACTTTTTTATTTTGGAGTTTTGGGTTGAGCTTGAGCCCCAATACATTTTTGCTGATTCTGTTTTAATTTTTATAAATAAGAATACAATACATATTATTAAAAAACTATATTTTCAATATGATAATCTAAAATTGTGGGAAAAAAAACCTTTAGAAGGCTGTAACCATTTGAATACACTATGGATGCAACTTATTTTAAGAAACTTTGTTGTTGTCAGGGGGAAATAGTCCGACGTTTTGCCAATGAGCAAAACAAGATAATCTGTGGTAAGTTAACCTTGTTAACAAGGTTAAATTGGTAATCTTCATGAATAATTTATTAAAAAGGGAGTTTTTAATCTTTTGAAATATGATAATTCACAGATCCAGAAATGCAAGAAGAAATAGACAAATATATGGCAGCTGGTCAAGCATCATTTAGTATTTTGCTTCTGGTAAGTTAATTTTCTTTTTTCTTATTGACATTAACCCCTAACTTTTTACAAATTTGCCCTCATTTTAGTTTTGGACTTAAGTCAAGAAATAACGTGCTTTTATTTATATGTGTTATCATAATATCTAAATTCCTGCTTTCATTTATCTCCATTACAATATTGTACTTTCACATTTTTTGTTATCAAGGAGTATTATTGTACGTCAAAAATTCGACACAATCACAGCATTCTACTTCCATTTTTTTTATTTCTCATTAGGGGATTATACTTTCTAAAATCTACCCAATTTTAGCATTGAAAAATGTTTTGTATATTTATTGCATTGCTATAATTGGTAATTTTTTCGAACTACAATGTTTTGTTAGGAAGAAATGAAAGTATTTTTTGCATTTAACCCTTAATATTTTTCCTAACCTTGTTTTCTCAAATACTTTTTATAAATCATTTATCCATATACTTTTTGAACCAGAACGTTTGTAAGACAATTCTGAGTTTCTGACTTGCGAAATTGGAATGATATGACCAATTTACCCTTAGAAATTTTTGTTAAGGCTCATAAAACTTGAGGCTGTTTTTTGCAGATGGATTCTTCTGAGAATTGGGAGCAAACAACTTTCACTTTAAGGCGATCAAACTACCAAGTAAAGATCAATCGGACACAAGAAATTTTCATCCAAGGGGAATATACCAATGATGTATCGGTATGTAAAATAAAACATTCATTTTTTTATATAGACGCGAATATGAGTTTGATTTGGCATATAAATTTAGGGATGTATTTTAATATTGACTTCCTAAATATATTTGGTTTCTATTGCAACTTGCAAGCAAATCATCCTTTCTTGGAAAGAAATTGAATAAGCGGTTTTGATGGCATTTAAATTTTTAACTTGTTGAAAAAATACATTTAATAATTGACTTTTTGGATACCTACTTAATTATTAGTCAAATGACTAAAATACCCTTCAACAATGAAAAAACTACGGAATCTTGATTTTTTGTAACTTTTTGGAAAGTTTCTAAAAATAGAGATTGTTGCACTTCTCATGGGAAAGATGGAGTATTAAATTTAAAAACTTGTGATCGAAGCAAATTAAATATTACACATTTTTGTCCCACCCAAAAAGTGGAAAAAAGGGAACCGAGACTCAATCTTAATTTCTTGTTTATACAAAGGACGTAAATGCCCCTGTCATCCATTATCATTGAAAAAATCCTTAAAAAGCTTCTTTATAATTTTGATAAGACAAAACTGCACAAATGGTCCCTGTTGTTAGCTGAAAATTGTCACTTTGGTCCAAAAAGGTTTGGACTAGCACCAGAGGTCCAAACTTTTCATTTTGTTGCGAGTTTGGTCCACTTTTCTATAAACTTTTTCATAATGACTATTTTGCCCTTATTTTTTTCTTTTTCAGCTTTTTTATTATTTAAATACTTTTTTTGATTAAAAGAAAAAAAAGAAAAAAGAAAATTTGCATTTTCTATTTTATTTTTATAATTTTTTTATAACAAAATAAAAAAAATAAAATGAAAAATCTCTCTCTCTCTCTCTCTCTCTCTCTCTCTCTAAGAGAACGTCACCACCCTTACTCCCTCACCCAAGCTTTACTCTCGTCGGAAATCGTGAACACCACCGGCAGAAAAGATGAACACCACCGCCAGAAAAGATGAACGCCACCAGATCGAAGCTCTGGCAGCGAAACCCTAACCCTAAAAGTTCCAGGCTGTGACACATAGATAGAAGCTAGGGATTGAAGCGACGACAACCTCTGAAAACCCTAGGGTTTCAGGAAATGAGAATGGTGGCAGCCTCTGAAGCTGAAGCTCACCTGAAGGTCGTTTGATGGAGCCAGGAGGGTCGAGAGACGGCGTGAACGGTGCTAGGGCTTGTGTTCTGTTCATCTTGAAACTGCCATCGTCTTCTTTCTTCTTCTGATCCAATCGGTCAGCAACACACGAAGGAGGAATAAGGACTTCAGTCCTCTACCTTTGTCTGATCGAGAAGAGGGACCCTGTAACGACCCAAAAATCATGACTAAAAATTTCGTTTTAAAACATTACTTAAACCACAATTGTCAATTCATAATATAAATCACAACATAAAATCATAGTGTTAATTCAAAACATAATCTTCTTATCAGAGTAAAACATCCCAGGCTGACTAGCTATGGTGTGTGCCATGCGATCATCCCGAGCTCTACTCCCCGCTACTGGAAATACCTGAAACCAAAACTGAAAACTGTAAGCACGAAGCTTAGTGAGCTCCCCCAAACTACCACATACCATACAATAACATATAAAACACATATTGGGCCTTGCCCACTGCATCGGACCGAAGCCCGGACTAATTGGGCCTTGCCCCCTGCATCGGACCGAAATCCGGACTAACTGGGGCCTTGCCCCTGCATCGGACCGAAGTCCGGACTAACTGGGGCCTTGGCCCCTGCATCGGACCGAAGTCCGTACTAACTGGGGCCTTGCCCCCTGCATCGGACCGAAGTCCGGACTAACTGGGGCCTTGCCCCCTGCATCGGACCGAAGTCCGGACTAACTGAACATAGCATAACATAGTCATAACTACTAGCATAAACGCATATACTGCATACTGCATCGGACCGAGGTCCGGACTAACACACACATAAACATGCCTGAATCACAAAGACATCAAGCATATTGTACTACTGCATCGGACCAAATTCCGGAACTACTGCTATCTAAACGGGCCAGCATTGTGGCCGTAGACCCGTTCCTACTGGAAGGAAACTCACATGTACTGCTGAACCCTGCTGATAATCCTCTGGCCGCTAATCGACTATTCTCTGAAGCGCTGCTCTCCTAGCTCACCGAGCTACCAACACCAAATAATAGAACTTAGCCTAAACTGTCCTCCAGAGGTCAACTAAGTCAACTATGGTCAAGGTCCTGGTCAAAGCCAACCTTCCAGTTGACTCGACTCGCCGAGTTGTTCTACCAACTCGCCGAGTCCATGCTCCTCAAATCCCAAACAACCCCGACTCCACTCGTCGAGTCTAGCGAGAACTCGACGAGTTCTCCTTCATCTAACACTTCGGGACTATCTTCAACCGACTCGTCGAGTTGTTCTACAACTCGCCGAGTCCATATTCATCGGCTAAGGAGATTGTCTTGGACTCGCCGAGTTCCTCCTTGAACTCGTCGAGTACCATGATCTTCATGTCCATCACGGACACAGACTGGCTGAGTCCTTCTCTAACCCCACTCACTGATCCGACTCATAAACAGAAGGGTTTGGGTTTTGCGACCCGACTCGCCGAGTCCATGAGTTGACTCGCCGAGTCCTCCTTGAGACAACTATATTATGTCGATTTCAGTTTATTCCAACACTCATAACTCATAGATCTGGACTCCTTATGCTAGCATTGCACGTAAAGTTGCTAACTTTACGTGCATTGCAAGGGGTTATGAGGCTAGAACACCAAATCCAAGCTAATAAGAAGTTCAAGGTCAATACATGGAGCCTTAGCTAGATAAAGCCAACAACTCTGAGCTTCTAGAGCTCAAAAGTGTCAAGATCTAATGTTCAATCCATCCTCCAAGGATTATCACCCGGATTCCACTTGGGAATGGTCCAAATGTAACAAAAGATAAGCTAGAAAAGGGATCTAGATGATTAACAGCCAAGGTATAATCTTTATACCTTCAAATGATCTGGAATGTCACCCAAACTCTGGATCTATACTCCTTTCCTTGCTCCCTTTCTTCTACAATCTTCAAGATGCACACCAAGAGTCTAAATCTTCTCACACAAGCTCAAGAATGAAGTTGGGTGGCTAGGGTTGCGTCTCTGGACAATGGAGTCTATAAATGAAACCCTAGAAATGAGAATGAGATGCTTAAATAGGGTGCCAAGTCCCGAAATTAGGGTTTCTCAACCCAGACCAGACTCGTCGAGTCAGTCTCCCCGACTCGCCGAGTCGGTCACTTAATCCGCGACACGGGTCATGCTTCGACTCGTCGAGTTCCTCCTTGGACTCGACGAGTTGACTCCTTTGACTAAGGGCTTTTCTTTCCTTTCTTGGTCTTTCGAATTCTGGGTGTTACAGACCCGATTGGAAGCAGCAACAGATTGAGGGGGATGTATGTGGGTGGTGATCGTCCGCAGAAAGGGGATGAGGAGGAGGGTCGGGAGTGGGTTTCTCCGGTCCTTGTCTGATCAGGGAAGAAAGAACTTGAACGAAGTAGAAAAGGAACACGAGGGCAACAAAGAAACTTGGTCCTATGGTGGTTCATCTGTGGTGGTTACACAATCACGAGGAGGGGTGCCGACAGAAGGCTATCCCCGGAGCCTTCATTCCCTTTCTGTTGTGATCGGCAACAAAACGTAAAAGAGGATGGAGGTCTTCGATCCTCTGTTGATCCGAGAAGAAGGAAGCATTAACGGAGGCAACAGTTGGTGGCGAGGGAGGTGTTGGTGGTGGCGATGGCAGCCCCTTGGCTCGCCGGTGGAGTTGTTCTTGATGGTCACTGGAAATGCATCCACCTCCGGTGGTGTTTTTACCATAAAAATGAAGAAGAAAAGGAAGAAATAAGAGAGAGAGAGAGAGAGAGAGAGAGAGAGAGAAGAGAGAGAGAAATTTAATTTAATTTTTAATTTTTTTATTTTTTTTTAAATCTGAAAATCAGGAAAACAATTAACAAAAAAGAGAAAATCATATTAACAAGGGCAAATCCGTCATTTTGAAAAAAATTAGAATAGATTGGACCAAACAAGCAACAAAATGAAAACTTTGGTCCTCTGGTGTTAGTCCAAACTTTTTTGGACCAAAGTGGCAATTTTGAACAAACCACAAGGACCATTTGTGCAGTTTACTCTTTTGATAATGGTCATCTCTTTCTTATAATGATTTTGTAGATAAAGATCCCTTCAGGTCTTCCTACACAATTTGTGTTGACATATTCGGATGGTTCTTCACATCCTTTTAATACTTTCCAGGATGCTCGGTAAAATATTTACCTCTTGTTCTTATTTACTTAGTGAGTTAGTTTTTTACATATTACAAAGAGATAGTATTCTTTGACTTTTCAGCTCAAACAAACTTCTTTTCAGATTCAAAATTGATGTCATTTTTTTTAGTTTCAAGGCAGAATTGATGCCTACACTAATCTTTATGACAACTACTACAAATAAAAAATATGTTGATGCAAGTTTGTGACAGATGCATGTCAAAATTTGAATTTGGAAGTATTGTTACATACATTTTGACCTCAAAAGTCAAACTGTACTACCTTTTCGCTTCAACTTTAATACCTGCGTCTTGCTAAATTCAATGATTTGTTGGGTGATTTGGTTAATGGAACAATCTTTTTGTTGTCAACAAGATATCATTCTATTGTATCTTTTGGGGCTAAATGCAAGAAATAATAACGTACTTACATTTATTTTTATATTATCACATTCTACTTTCATTTCTTTCTATTATAGTGTTATACTTTCAGCTTATATCTTATTAAGTATTGTACTTTTAAAAATCTACCCGAATATAACGTTGTACTTTTTTTCCCTTATTACGGCATTGTACTTTGAGAAATCTATTCGATTATAGCAGTGAAAAGTGCTTTGTATTTAGATGACATAGCTATATTGAGTATATTTTTTCAAAGTACAAAACTATAATAGGAAGAAATGAAAGTAAAATGTTATAATACATTAATCAATAAAAGTACATTGCTATTTCTTGGATTTAACTCTTTCATTTTTCAGAATGCGCGATACATTGGTGCTCACAATGAGAATGTTCCAAAGAAAGGTATCTTTCAAGTCCTTATCATTCTCAAATTTTTGCCCAATTTCGACAATTTCTATATGGTTCTATATTGAGTTTCCAAAAAGGGAAATTTATTTAACACATTTCTCTTCTTCTTTTTTCTGAAATAGGCATTGGATGAAAGAAGGAATGCAAGAACATGAAACTTTTATTCTTCGATATAGACACAAGTATTATATATTCTTTGTAGAAATGAAGTAAAGAACAAGAAGACTATTCTAGAAGGTTTTGCGGTTTAGATTGGAATCAATGAGTGAGAGTTAAAACAAGGGTGTGTTGATTTAAAAGTTAATAATATACTTTCTTTTTGCGTTATTATCGACAAACCGACCAAATATTGAAGATGTTTTACATTATTTGATATTTCTTGTTGAAGTTATGAAAAGAAAATTGTTTCAAAGTATGATGTAATTTTAAATGAGGCTATAGTGAGGGGTGTTAGAATTTCTTACCTTCATCAAACACACCCTAAAAATTAATTTGTTGCAAAATTTCTTACTCCTTCCTTTGAAAGAAACAAATTGCCCCTTGCCCCCATCCTCTCTCTTGGTTGAACTTAAAGAAACCACTACGAGTTTAATTTGGTTTACATACTTTTACCTAGTTGTTACTTTGCATTAGAAAATTTTAAATAATTGTAATAATTATAAAACTTACACCTTAATCTTTTCTCTCAAATCAAAAGTGCAAATGATATCCCAATTACACCAACTTTATCAAATTATAATAGTAATGTACTTAAAAGTTTCTGCCATACTTTATGTACGTTTTATCATTCCGTCAACTCCAAAAATCCTTAACTTACACAATAGACACATAATACCCTATTAACATTATAACATACTTGATGATAAAATGGTATTTACTAAAAATAAGGTTGAAACGGCTAAACTTATGTTGCAACTTTTTTTGTAGTGATAATGATTATTAATTCGTAGATTTTTGGTTTAGATGTTAAAGCCTTTAAGATTTCTGGTTTAGATATTTTAGTGTTCTTGAACATGGTAAGAAGGGGATGAAAAAGAAGAAAAAGATAAAAGACAAAATAGTCATTTTCATCGATTAAATGAATGATTCGTTAAGGTTAACGATCTAAGAATCGAAAACATGACAAGGAACTTTTGTTTGGCTGATGAATGTTAAAACTAAAAAAAAAACATTCATAGGATCTTTAAAAGGACTTAACCATGGGACTAAAATCTAATTTACCTTTTGTAAACACGATACAAAAAAAAAGGGAAATTGTGTAACCTAACCATTATAAATGAGTTTTTCAAAGAAAATAACCATATTTTTTTAGTTTTAAAAAAGAATCACTTTCTTCAGAATGTCTAATTCCGAAGTACTGTTCATATTCCGGAGTTTTTTTTTTTTATTTTGGGATTTCACATGCTACATTTCGAAATGTTTAATGTCATCGTTTCTCAATAAATATCTAATTTCATGCACTAATATCGTATATAGTTCACATTAATATATATTTTTTTTAACATTTTGTTAAATTTAAGTAAAAAAAAAAAGAATTTTTTCTCGAAATTCCGGAATTGTTCTTCGGATTTCGGATTTGTTCTTGAAATTCTAGAGATTTTTTTTTCCAAAATTAGAAATTTTAGTTCGGAATCCGGAATGCCATTATGGAATTAGTCAAAAAAATGTTTTTTCTTGGTCCGGAATACCCCATTCCGGACAAGTGGTTATTTTTGTCAAAAAAAAAAGAGTTATTTTTTTCAAATACACATTAAAAATGGTTAGATTACTTAATTCCCCCTACCCCTACCTAAAAAAGAGGATCTTTAAAATAATGTAAATTACACGAATCGTCCCTTGTTCAGATGCCAGAAGACATGTTCAGTTCCTATTTTCAAAAATTAATTCGGACTGTCCCTCATTTGTTTAAAACTTGCAGGCTTCGTTCCTGATATACGATTTTGTTTCGATTTTAATCAGTGCTAGTTCTGAAATGACAATAATGCCCTTTGTGTAATTTTTTTCCAATTAATTTAATGTTATTATTATTAATTTAAAAAAAATGAAAAAGAAATATGTCCTCACTGTTCACATAATGTCTCTTTGTGTGTTTATCTCTCTCTTTTTTCTCTATGAAATCATCGGAAATAGGCACCACCACAACCAGATATTTGAACCGGAAACGTCTTCACTTCCTCCGGTGTGTCGCCGTCACCTACCACCATTTCACGTCTTTGTCTAAACCCCTAAAGAAACCACCTAAATATCCATCTTTATTGCCATCAAAAGCTTCACTGGATCTGTCACGTGGGTCGTCATCGTTCTTTAAATCTAAGTCATCGATAGAGATGTAGTCAGAAAGGGAGAGGAGGAAAGTCCAGATCAATGGCGTCGCAGAGGGGGATAGGTGGTTTCCGGAGAGTTCTACATAGAGATGGATACGGTCAAGAGGGGTTTTCGGTGACTATGACTCTTCCAGATGCATATTGGAAAAGATGAAGGGATATGTCGTCGATCTAGCGTTTCGATTTAGACTCTTCAGATGTCGAAGACGATTTAGGGTTTGGGGTCTACCCATCCCCTTCTGTTACCATCTCCTTCCCCTCTTCGATTGTCTTTTATGTCCAAGTATACCGATCTATTCTTCTTTCCGGCCAGGTGCACCAGATTTCTTGGAGTTAAAGATGAGAGAGAGAGAGAGAGTGTGTGTGTGTGTGTGTGTGAGTAAGGGTTTGATGGTGTTGCCAGAGATTTCTTGGAGTGGTCAAAGATTTTGTGGAGTCGCGGGAGTACTGGAGTCGGTAGAGATGTAAGTCGTCGGTGTGGGTGGTGATGTTGAATAGGATGCTTACTTAAGAAAAAGGGGGAACTTATGAACGTGCTTAAGTGGGTGTTTGGATAAATTAGTTTATTGCTTATTCGCTTATTGCTTATTAGCTTATTTGTGGTGGGAATTAGCAATAAGCAATAAGCAAGGGGGGGAGATGCTTATTAAAATCAGCTTATTTAGCTTATTCCTACCACAATAAGCTGATTTTTAAGGATTTATATCCAAACATTTAAACTTAGCTTATTGTGGTGGGAATAAGCAATAAGCAATAAGCACCCTCTTTTTTTCCCTATCCAAACACCCCCTAACTACCTGTGCTTGGGGATCATTCCCATTTTTTCTAAAGGCAGTGAATATTTTTTTTATTAATAAAAAAATCAATAAATAATTATAAATAACAAATGAATACAAAATAAATGAAAAAAGAAATAGAAAAAGGTAATATGGTCATTCATATCTGTTAGGGACGGAAGATGAAAGTTTTAAACAAACGAGGGAAGGTGTGAGTTAATTTTTGAAAATAAGGACTAAACGTGTCTTTTGGCATTTACACGAGGGACGATTTGTGTAATTTACTCTTAAAAGTACCTAACCTCATCTACTCTCTCATTATCGACACCCTCGTTGTCGTTCCTCTCTTCTCTTGCTGGAATCCGCCGCCACTTTCATCACTAGACCACCGGCTGTGTGTGTGTTTAAACTTCTAGCCGAGTCATGCCCTTTTCATACACAAATAAGAAGCTGCTAAGTGCTAACAATGTTCGATCATGAGAGTAAATCAGTAAATTGAGAAAGAGAAAGCTACTAATGTTTAGGTCTTCTAGACATGAATTTACTCTGGTTATCTCTATTTTTGTCATGATTTCAACACCACATCTTTCTTTTAAGGTTTTCAGAAATGATCCTGATTATTTCAAATGCCTTCTGGGTCTACTCTTATCTTTGAATTTGAGTGATTTCAATACTAGATGTTGCGATGAAGATTAAGAGAGATTAAAGAGATTCTGTGTAAACTTATTTCATTGATTAGAGAGTATGAACTTCAAAATACATATATAAACCAAATGTCACAAATTATTTAAATTCTGTGTAAACTTATTTCATTGATTAGATAGTTTAATTTGGTTTACATACTTTTACCTAGTTGTCACGAATTCAGTCCCTTTATACTTGAAAAGACGAAAATACCCTTACAGATTCAGTCCCTAACGGCGTTTTACTAACGGTGTTAGTAAAAAGCTCCAACTTTGCAAATTTTGCAAACCACAAGGACCATTTGTATCAAAAAAAAATAGTAGGGACTAGCTTTGTGACTTTTGGAAAACTACAGGGACCATTTTTGTAATTTTGTCTTAAAAGTAATTGAGAACACAAATGTGATTA